AATTAGATCATCGGGGGGCTCATCTGAACAGGTCTGAGGAGGTCTCAGGCAAAGCCGAGACCGCTACAAGCCAGAAAATCATACACGTGGGTTCTCTCCAGGGCTTGGAAGTTGAATTGATCACCAAGTGGCATGAACGAGAGGAGGCCTATTCACACCTCTCGCGTCTCGGTCTTTACTCGCGTTAAGTGTATGGCCGGAGACATGCACTAGATGTCGACTCAAGCACAAACCCCGTTACCCCAAGTTGGGAAACTTGTGAGCGTTGTGTGAGTATCTCATATGCCTGATATTGGAATTCTCGTTCTTGTATACTAATGCATGCGCCCCTTTTCAGCCCGGTCGGTCTCAAAGAAGCCGCTCTCGACTCGCCCACCTTTCGTGCCACCACCCTTTATTTCTCTGATCAGATCGATTTCATAGAGAAATGGCTCGACGGATATGCCAAAGCTGCAACCAAGCTCTCCTACGAGCTGACCGCTATGGAGAGTGTAGTGAACAACTTTCTTTCCTACTCGACACATCCCCTCGTGGTCTCGGAAGCGGTCGTTGACCATGATTACACACTTTTGGCTATGAGGAGATGTGGTGAGGGGTCTAAAGATCTTTGGAGTGGACTCATCGCAACAACCAGAAAGTTGGAGTCGTTGATTTCCGAACCTATTCGAGATTTCATTCAAGAGGATCTGCGGCAGTTCAAGGTATTAAGAAGCCCCTCATCCAATCTGTTCTCGGATTATCTGACACGTCCATAGGAAATTCGCCGCAACCTCGAGCAATCACAGAAACAGTACGATTACCTCCAAGCTCGATATGCCTCTCAGTCGAAGTCCAAGGAGGCCTCGGCCCTGAGAGAAGAAGCATTTCAGCTGCACGAAGCCCACAAGGCCTACCTGAAAGCATCAATGGACTATTCAGTACAGGGTCCTCAGGTACGAAATGCACTGGACCGACTTCTGGTCAAAATCTCCTGCGATCAATGGAGGGAATTCCGGGGATTTCACAATCACAACAGCGGGACCTTCTCGAAATGGTCGCGTGAGATGGATCGTATTAAGGGTTGGGTTAATGAGATGGAAGGCAGTGAGAAATCATCCAAACGAGAGCTGCTAGCCACCCGGAAGCTCATTGAGGAAGCCGCGGAGTTTGCGGCTCGACCGTCTCGTGAACTGGAGGACTACAATATTTCGACCGTTCCGTACCTTGGCTCTCGTCCTATTTCGGCACTTAATGTGAGCAAAGAGATGAGACCAGAGAAGCAAGGATGGCTGTATTTGCGCACATTGTCAGGAAAGCCTACTCGCACAATTTGGGTCAAACGGTGGGCTTTTCTCAAGCACGGCATATTTGGATGTCTTGTACAGGGCTCTCGTACTGGCGGTGTTGAAGAGAGTGAAAGAATTGGTGTATTGCTTTGCAGTATCCGTCCTGCATCACAGGAGGAACGCCGGTTCTGCTTCCAAGTGAAGACCAAGAACAACACCATTCTACTTCAGGCAGATAACCAGAAGGAGCTGATGGAATGGATTGGTGCCTTCGAGGCGGCCAAACAAAAAGCACTGGAGAACCCCGCAAGCACTGATCTCTCGGTTTCTGGAAAAGTCACAGTTCAAGACCCTGCATTTTCAATTTCTCAACCCCCGGCTGCGGAGTTCGCTGCGGATCCTGCTGACTCTCTTACCCCTCATACGAACGATGAGTCCGGAGCGGGGGATCGCAGTATGACGCTTCCTGTTCCAGACCGTGATGGATATACCATGAGAAATAGTACCGATATTGGAAGCAGCAGAAGACCAACAGGCTTCGATAGTGAGAGCTCTGCAAGAGAACATGCAAAAGAGCATACCTCTAGACTCATCCAAAAGTTGGATCTTCACCGCAAATCGAACAATGCGGCTCCACTATCTCCTTCCGTCCCTGGCCCTGCAGGTGGAATAGCCAGTCTCATCTCTGCCAGCCACAATATTCTCCCTTACAGCAACGCCGGTCCACTCAACGCCAACGTCGATGGCAGTCGAGGTCGCAGTTTAAGCAACGTGGATGATCCTGGCTCAAGTCTTGCACCTGCCACGCTCGCCAATCCCCCGGCACCCACAAGCATGAGCAAGGCGGCAGTGGTTGTGAGCAATGAAAGAGGCATTGGAATAGGCGTCTCTGATAGTACGGGTGGTATGCCTAGTGGTATGATGGCGAACGTGTGGGGTAGCTCTAACTGGGGTTTCATGAACAAGCTTCGACGGGACCAACACCAGATTGATGGAGTATCTGATGGGCCGTCTACATTGGGTGATGGCTCAACACACACGATTGCCGCACAACCCGATGCAGCGGGTACTTTAGTGGCACCCCGACAGCAATCAGGTCCACGCCACAGGCAGACAGTAAGCCTTGATGGGGACGATGTTAAGCTCACGCAAGTTGCACTGGGTATCGGGTATGAATATCCCAGCTACTACCCTCAACAATTGAGGATTCAAGATGCTCAGTTCAGATTGCTTTTCCCAGACGTCAAGAGAGTGGAAGCATTGGTCTTGGTGTTCAGAGCCACCTGGAGCCCTAACGACCAGCAAGAATTCCCCGGACGAGCTTATGTCACAACAAGGAACATTTACTTTTATAGCCATCATTTCGGACTGGTTTTGACTACCGGTGTGTCTTTGGAGAGCATTAAGGAGGTAACTGCAGCTCCTGGGCGAGACTGTGACTTCCTTTTCCTTCATACTATTCCACCCCTCGGCAGTGATACTCCTGGCCGGGTTACGATCAAAACTTTCCTTGAACCTCTCCGACTTCTTCAAAAACGACTCAACTTCTTGATCCAATGCTCCATTGCCGTCGAGCAATTGAGTTTAGAATCCTTGATCAAAGCTTTGATCAAGATGGACACTGGGTCTTCAGCCCGAACTTCCAGTGCAGATAGCTGGGATGATCTTTCATCCGGACTCGCAGGCATCAAACATGACGGGGGCAAAGCTACAGACCTGGGCCATGCGAAGGACATTCGACTGCCTATTTACGTTGACAAAGATCTTGAGCTGGATGGAGGCAGGACTGCCCGTGGTCGGGATATTGCTAAATTCAGACTTCCAACACAACCCGTGGAGTATGTTCCACAAGGCGATCTTGTCTTGGTGACCGAAAAAATTCTCGATATAAGCCCTAAAGCTTTGTTCCATATATTATTTGGCGACAAAAGCGCCGTGTGGCAGCTTCTTTTACACGAGAGGAAAGCTCTAGGTTCGTTTATTCTAAATCCTTAATCACTTATACATGGCTGACATTTCAAAGAGATCCAACAAGGCCCATGGGCTAGTACGGACTTGCGGCATCTGAAGCGTGACTTCCACTACAATATCGCCACGACAGATATCCTTGGTAGGCTTGATTATTGATGATCTTGAGATCGAGCCATGACTGATTTTGTATAGGTCGTACTCACGAAAATGCGATATCGGATTATCAGATCATTGATGTTCTCAACGACCATCTGTGCTACGTGATCACAGATAAAAAGACTCCGTGGCATCTCCCCTTCCGCCGTTCGTTCCGGTTGGTTACCAAGGTTGTCATTACATTCCAGGCCAAGTCGAAGAGCAAGCTTGCTATTTATACGAAAGTCGAGTGGCTGTGGTCTCCCTACGGCCTCAAAAGTGAGTTATCCCCTCCCATCCCTCCCATTCGAATATTCTAACATACCTAGACGTGATCGACAAAAAAGCAAGTGAAGATCTAGAACAAGACTCCTTGGATCTTGTCGACCTAGTCAGTGACCAAGTACGTCGATTGGGTGCACACAGTCGCACCAAAAAAGCCATCACGATCTTCGGCCATGTTGGACGCCAAAACAACGTCTCCCAATTTAGTGGCGCTGGTTCCAACCTGAAGCTGGAACCTCGCAAGCCCCGAACACAGCGTGCTATGCACGACCTTCTTTTCGAGACCTTCTTGTCATTCCTCGAAACGAGTGTTTCCTTCATAATGGTTTGGGCGTTTGACGTAGTTCGCTGGTCTTGGAAGACCATGAGTGCTCACAAGATCATCCTGACCATGTTGGCTACAAGTGCCATTTTGAATGGATACTATTCTTCGCGGGATAGTTGGGACTGGTGGCACGAGAGACATGCAGGCAACTTCATGGCACGGCTGGGTGTACAGCCAAACCTCGTTATGAGCAAATCTATCTACATGCGGGATATTGATGACGCGGTTGCAAACTCCACAATTTGGCCCGGCGCCGGCAATGCCAGTGATTGCTTTGCTACCTTCCACGAGCAGACCATGCGGTATGCCGATATGCCTCTGTCGCTCAGTCCATCCGGACCCCGGGATGCATTGACCAAGAGCGCCATCAAACGCTTCCAGCAAACTCGTGAGCGTCTTGGCATGTATCGACACAACCTTCTTGTCGCATTGCGTGTCGTGAACAGTATTGAGAAAGAGGTCGTCCAGACGGAATGGGAGCGTTGGCTGCGCGAGGAGGTCCGGCGCTGTCGCCAGGTCGAGGTTCTCCTTGGCGGAGAGGCCACTCCGGGCGACGACTCGCAGACGGGCCGAACGACCAAAGCTGAGCGTGTCTTTGCCGAGCATGCTGACAACGTCAAGCAGTGGCATGAGGAGTACTGCTCGAGTTGTCGAATGGAGCAAGAACATGTCATATCCAATAATCCTGACCTAATTCCTTGATTTTCTTCCTACAGCAGTTTCCGTCTCCGAGCATATTGTCAAGCCTTCTGTACAGCCATCTCATTTCTTGCTTCTTGCTTATCACTATACCCTGTGGCTAGCTGATCATATGTCAAAAAAACTTGTGTATAATTCCGGCGCATATCATACAAGTCGTCATTGCTTTGAATGTGCTCTGTATATCTGTATACCACATGGATAATGTCACTTCACTGCTTATTTGAATGAGTATTCGTCACATTATATAGTTAACCCGTAAGGGTTGAGAATGCAATAGGTTTATTATGTACATATGAGAACCATCAATATCCACGCACTCAGTTCTGCCTCGGCTTCACCTCACCTTCATGCACAACATAATATGCCACCGTCCCGTCCCCACCCATCCCCTTATCCACCATAGCAAGCAAAAACCTTTGCGCACCCCATTCTTTGGTCAAACGAGTCTTTTCCTTCTTATCATAGTATTGAGCCAGCTTTTCTGCCTTTTCAGGATTCAGATTCGCCGCCTCCGGCTGCATGCTTGTCGGACCGACAGATCGATCATGCTCTTTAGCCTTTTGCTCGAACTCAGGAAGCCGGTCAAACACAGCACCCATATGACGCAAGGTCCACGGCTGACCCTGTGTAGTTGGTACCACGAAAATCCGCTCCGGCTTCAGGTCCTCATCGCGGATTCCGTTTTCTAGCATGTACAGCTGCTCATCTGGATGTGTGTACACGCGGTGTGGGGGGTAGCCGGATAGCAGAGGGATTGGTTCTTGTGGTGATTGGCGGGGTTCTTTTTTTAATGTGTTTGAGTCGTCTGATCGTCCAGGAATGATGTCTCCTATTATAGAGGTCCAGAGGTGTTGGTGTTCGAGGTTGTGCTGGACCTGGGCGGATGTTGCGAGGTGGGGGGACTCATGGCCTTTTTCGGTGATGCGTTCGGTGATCGCCGATGCCTCGGGCTGTTTGGTGACTTCCAGTATGTCTGCCATCATGAATATTTTCTTGGAGCTTTTTGTCTTGTTAGACTTAGCAGAGGAGCTCCGGCCGAGGATTTTTGGGATTCACCGCCTGGATAGATCTGATTTATTGACACCGCTTTCCTCAATGGGATTGTATAGTTGAGATAAGAGGCTTGGAGGCTCCTAGGTTAGAAGAGAGATTTGGAATGATAAAATGAAGAATGGCAAGTCAGATATTTCTTCCATCTTTGCACCATGAGTTCAAGTAAAAATAGAACAGAAAAATTTATGTGGGGTGGCGATCATAATAAGGCGAAGTAAGAACACATGGCATCTTGTTGTTTTGGTTTCAGGACTCCAGGACCCGACAACCTAGGACTAACCTCGACACAGGGTCATTTCCCCACCTTTTCGCATAGTTTATATCGCCTTGTCTTGTTCGAGTCGCTTGGATTTTCAACTTGTATTCCGCCTTGATTACCCGCAATGGGACGACAAAAGCAAGGCGCGCCGCTCAAGAGAGCCCCTTCTTCTCAATTAATGCACATCTCAGAAGAGTCCGACGTGGGACAGAATTCTGGAAACAATACAGACACAGTCTCGACCGCCAAGGGAAGCGTGTCCGAAAAAGCATCAGCGGCCCTGGAGACAGTCACCGACAGCCCTGGGCTGACGCAACTTGCGATTTGTGTTCTCGGTATATATGCGGCATTGTAAGTGCCTCCACCGCTAGGACTGGCCGGAGAAATTAACAAGACGAAAAGCCTCTCGTGGGGTGTGCTACAGGAGGCGATCACGACAACCAGCTATCTCGTTCGTCCTGCAACCGTTGCGGAGCCAAACCCTCCAACGGAGCGATTCACCTACTCGCTGGTGCTGAACACGGTCCAATCTCTCTTCGCGGCCATCACCGGCTTTGCATACCTACTATTCTCAACACCGAGTGGCCAAAAAATTCCATCTATCTTCCCTACACGCCGGATCATCGTCCCCCTGCTTCTAGTTGCAATCTCCTCGTCACTTGCGTCACCCTTCGGCTACGCCAGTCTCGAACACATTGACTACCTGACCTTCATCCTCGCCAAGTCATGCAAGCTCCTCCCGGTGATGGTCTTGCACCTGACCATATTCCGCAAGAGATACCCACTGTACAAATACGGTGTTGTCCTGATGGTCACTCTCGGCGTCGCAACCTTCAGTCTGCACCACCCCGGAACTAGTAAGAAAGTCGCTGCCAAGGACCAGTCTGGATCCTCCGGCTGGGGCATCTTCTTGTTGTCAATCAACCTCCTTTTGGATGGCCTGACCAACACTACGCAAGACCACGTCTTCTCCTCGCCCAAGCTGTACACCCGCTTCACCGGACCCCAGATGATGGTCGCTCAGAATGTTCTCTCGACCGTTCTGACTTCTGCGTACCTCCTGATCATGCCGCATCTCTCACAGAGCGGGATTTTGCACAACCTCCTGCCATTCCCCATTCCCCCGTCTAATGAGACTGAACTGTTTGGTGCCTTCTCCTTCCTCTCTCGCCACCCAGAGGCACTGAAGCATGTCCTTGGGTTCGCGGCATGCGGGGCTGTTGGCCAGCTTTTCATCTTCCACACTTTGTCTCGTTTCTCTTCACTGTTGCTTGTCACTGTCACCGTTACACGTAAGATGTTGACTATGCTCCTCAGCGTTTTCTGGTTCGGACATTCTCTGTCCCGTGGCCAGTGGCTGGGAATTAGTCTGGTCTTCGGCGGCATTGGCGCCGAAGCAGTGGTACAAAGATCAGAGAAGAAGGCGAAAGAGCAGTCGAAGATTGAGGCTGCAAAGAAGAAGTTGTGAGTTTTTTTTGCGAGGCTTTATAGATAAGCTTTCATTTGAAGAGCATTTAGATTCCCAAAATATAAACCGCAAGTTACAGCCTCTGGGTGGGTTCTCGTTTCACATATTTTTCTCGGGCCTTTTGTGGGTATATTCTTAAGGTGATCGTTCGTCTTTCAGAGGACGTAAGTAATGGGAAGAAGCTCACTTCCGCCCCTCAACCATGATGATATGATATCCAAACCCAGTCTTGACCTCGGCATACTTGGGATTTCCCGTTGTGCTAGTTTCAAGCTCAAAAGCAACATTCTCAAATGCAGGGTCCAGCCCGCCCTTCGTCTTCCATCCGAGCGACCCTCCTGCGGAAAAGAGATCAGCCGTGTTACTTTCGTCCCTCAAAGACTTCCTTACCCTGTCTAGCCTTATCCTCCGAGAATTCACGAGCAACCTCATCGAACTTGGTGCCATTGCGAAGCTTCTCTAGGGCTTCTTCTTTCTTGGCGTGTTTCTCGCACTAGATGTGATTAGAATGAGCTATATAACAACCCTTTCCCCTGTCCCCTGTCCACGGGATCTGGTGGTATATCGGCTACCCCTCAGAACTATAGGCAGAGGATCCGAGATTGAAAAGAGAAGAGCCAAAAAACATACAAGAATGTGCCGCACGTTAATCGACTGTGCGCCTTTCACTGCTCCTCCCTTTCCACCTTTTCCCTTGGCGTCGTCAGCAGAGGCATCCTTGCCTTTGCCCTTCGCGGCTTTGGCGTTGTTCTTGGGGGCCATTGTGGAGGAAAGGTATCAATGATACGTTGTTATCGCTGTCTCGGCCGTTGTTTGTTCAGATTGAGTTGATGTGGGGTGGAAACTTATGCCTGAGGCTGTCAGGCAGAAAGGATGTGTGACGTGGATGCGGGTGTATTGACTCTCTGCTCTAAAGAGTTCTAGTTAGGCATATGTATGGAATTATCCCAGTTTACACATTGCAGCATCTTGATTTCTACAAAACCATTCATCTCTCCTTTCCCTTCGCTTACACTGCCAACCCCTCATCGATAGCGATTGCTGAGACAAAGGACCGAAGTCAGCAAGGACTAGGGACTACGTATCTACTAGTCCGAGTTTGAAAACCAAATGGGATTTGATCTTGAAAAGTCACGCATCATCGCATTGCCCGAGGATGCATTCTATATATCGGACTTCATTACAGAAGACGAGGAGGACTGGCTACTTCAGAAGGTAAGTGACAGTGCTTTTCTTGTGAACATGTGTCCTTAGAAACCATGCCCTAAGGGATTGATGTAAAATATTGCACTAATATATGTGGTTACCATTATGTCGTCTTTCTTCAATTATACCTATTTAGACGTTGCATGTCACTTATTCATGCTCAGATCTCACTCACTGCAACAATTCACAGGTAAAGTCAGCACCGCTGCCGCGCTGGACCCAACTCTCGCACCGCAGACTTCAAACATGGCCATCAGCCCTCACCAAGGGTAATGCTCTTCTCGAATCGCCCTTACCAGCTTGGCTTCGATCACCGATCGTCGAGCCGCGGTTTGAGGCCCTGTGTATCTTTAATGATGCGCCACACAAGGCGCCCAATCATGTCCTAGTAAATGAGTACCAACCTGGACAGGGGATCATGCCACACGAAGATGGAGCTGCGTACTATCCCCTCGTTGCGACAGTGAGTCTAGGGGCGCCAATTGTGCTCAATTTGTACCACAAACATGCCCAGGGGGACAGGGAAGAAAATGAGGCACCAGCCAAGACCGGAAGAGATGTTGCCGGGATACCCGACACAAACCGAAGGCCCCAATACAGGATTTTGCAGGAGAGACGGAGTCTCCTGATCACGAGGGGCAAGATGTACACAGACTTTTTACATGGCATCGAGGAAACGACGAGAGATGAGGATCTGAGCTCTCGCTCTATATGCAACTGGGAGCTCTTGCGAGAGAGGGAAGCGTACCAGAGCGGGTGGTATGAGCGGAAGACGAGGACTAGCCTTACATACAGGGATGTGCTTCAGGTTGTGAAGATGGGGAATACCTTGAAGTTTTTAAGTGGGAGGTAACGATGACCTCATTTCCAAATTCCGGTTCTTTTATTTATTTTTAGCTCTATGTTAGTAAACATATGGAATCATAAACCACCAGTCCTGCACCGAGTCTTTGCCGAACTTTTGCGCATACCACTGCTTGGTATTCCGAGCTGTCAGACCCAGGTTGACCGCGACGAAAGCCAAACAAGAAAACATAGTTTTATTGATCCATTCACCTCGCGGAGCAGCCAACAGCGCTAACGAGAGATAGATGATGCATTCTGCGCCATAGTGGGGACAGGCAACCCCGCGGAACATGGGATGCTCCGGAAGGGTATATTTTTTCAACGAGTAGAGGTAGTGATGGGAGTCATGCTGCAAACCAGACGCCACCAGGAAGAGCGGGACGAGAAAGAAAGTACGCAAACTTGGGGCGTTGGTCATCTGTAGATGAGCAATGGTCAGGTTTTTGGTCAACAGAGTGCCGGAACCCTCGATCCAAATCGCAACCCCTGCCGCTAGGTAGAAACCCAAGCCTAACAACCAGTGCATAAACCACATCTGGGACGACGAGGGTTTGGAGAAAACAAAGCACTCCCATAACCGCCGCGATCCTTGTATACTCAATAGAACACAACAGATCACCAACTGAGTCAGGGACATGGAATGACGTTGGTGGTCCTCGCTGACGCGGGATGCAATGGCTTGGAAAACCAAACCCCGCGATAGCAATTGCGCAATCCAGAAGACAGACGACAGGACAGATGCAACATAGAAATGAGTGAAATAACTATGTGGCACCTGCCAAGTAGCAAGATAGTCAAGGAAGCCCTTGCTCTGGGTGGGAGGGTTCTGGGCGGTCGATGGTGCAGAGCCGGTCGAGGCCGAGGCCGCGCGTGGACCGTAAGTGAGGAAGCGGGACCGTAGTGAGGTTGGGATGCTGGTCGAGAATGTCTGCATAGGGGGTCGGCGTTAGTCGGGTTCATCTGCAGGTGGTGTTCACTATCACCACTATCACATCGCGTATCGTACCGTGGCGGCGGCCAGCAGGAAGAACGCGCGTAGAGCATCCACGGCATCCATGCCAGTGGCATCCAGGGTGTTATCTACCCATTGAGAGATTAGAGACATGGCTCTTGGATGAGCGTGTTTTTTCCCCCGCCCCTTCTCTTTTTTTTCCCCCGTCTCTGTTTCGTATTGTTTCTTCAACTTAGTGTCATTGTGATGATATCAGTGAGTTGTTTTAGGGAGGTGTTTGTGGTGGAGAAACCCAGCCCCCCCGCCGATCCCTTTCGCCAACGGGGGCGTTGGGAGTTAGTTCGGCCTCGGGGTTAGCTCAGGGATAAGAACAATTAGGGTAGATAGAAGATAAAGGGCCAATTTGCGTCTGATAAGAGTTAGCTCTAAGTTTCTTGTAGAGATGTTTCATGATAATAGGCTTCACAAAATACATAGATGGGCCGGTGCGCTGAGTGGCGACTTTGAGGCAAATCCACTTGACCATATTGGGTCTAGTCTGGTCAGGGTGTTTGTCGCATTTGCAACATCCAAATCGGGTTAGTGGCCAAAGGTCTGTGCCCCCTTTTCTTCTCGGTATCACGGTATCACGGTATCAGCTGTATCGACCGTATCAACCGTATCAACCGTATCGTCTCCCGTATGGAGTCTTCGCCGAACGAGAAGGACATCCAAGAACGGAGTATGAAAAAAACAAAAATCGAAATAATCAAATATCAACGCGGGTTATAACCTCAACCCCTCTAAGATACAAGCATGTTTCCAGTAGCCAAAATCCAACCTGCAGCTCGATGATTCTACTGTGGCCAAACCTGCCCCAGTGAGGAGCCCTAGCCCAATGAATCCAGTCCCATTCCTTTCCCTTCCCGCTTTTCCTCTTTATTTCTCTTTCTTCCCCCATTCAACTCCCAAGTGAAAAACAACCCTCGATTTCATCCTCGATCTATATATCCATACCAGTAAATCCTATATCCGGATCTCTTCGACCAACTTCTCGTATCGCTCCCGTATCTCGGAGCGGTATTGCCCACGTTACAAGACTCTCTTTGCGGGTGAAACCCGCGGTCGAGGATCGGTGTCCGCGCACAACTGCTGGCGTTGTCGACCACGGTTGTTTTGTCGGTCGCGTTTTCCCCCCAAAATGACGAGCGGCATTTCAAGTCTTCGAGTGCTATCGCTATGAGTGATGTCGAGGCAGTCTCTTTACCAGCTGCCCTGGACGTCGGTCAGAATAGGCTTGCCACGGTAAAGCCAGACCCTGTTGGTCCTTCATCACCAGGCAAAGCTCGTGCAGACCCTCACCCACGGGTAAACAGCAATGGACCGACACGTGTACATTCGGAAGGGGAGGAGGACGGGCCTCCTAGTCCTAGGGCGGATTCGGAGGCTGAGACAATAATTCAATCAGGTCGGGAGTCCTTGTCACCGGAGAAGAAAAGGAAGCATATCAAACACGATCCGAGTCGCCATGAGCCTAACGGAACCGATGGACATCAGCGAAAGAAATCACGGGTGCTTGACGACACTCGACAACGCGAACGCGAGCAGGAACGGAGCCCTCCTTCTCCAAGCCACCGAGAAATCTCGCCATCGGTGGTCAAGATTGAAAAGGTCGATGATACGCAGATGTCAGAACCGGAAGGCGTTACCAATGGAGTCGACCTTGCGTCAGAGATACCTCGTGCTTTCCGTAAGCGAAGCTTAAGTGACAGTGCTGAGGAACAACAAGATCATCGTCGCGCACATCCTGTGCAGGAACTTAAACATACCAATAATACACGCCTCTCCAGACCTCCGTCCAACGCGCGATCACTCTCACCCAGTCGACCCTCTCACCAACGATCTGCTTCTGGCTCTCAGTTCCCGAAGAAAAAGGCGCCAACCCCTGTACTTACAGGCTCTGGGCGACATAGCTCCGAAGACAGACAATCGACGTCCTCTTCTCAAAGCAGTTCTCCACTGCCGGGAGCGCATCTACGGAAGCTTGGTTCTGGAGTCGGTGCGTCCGCATCGCCTGCTAAGCAAATGGGACCGAAGAAGTTGCGTGACAAGAGTGGCCGGACTCCTCTTGCACGAGCGTGTGCGGACCGGAAACATGATCAAGTGATGATGCGCCATGCTGAACGCCCAGAAGACATTAATATCCCCGATAATGCAGGCAACACCCCCCTGCAGATCGCATCGCTTGCTGGCGAAGCCGAAATCGTTAAGTTCCTACTAGATGCAGGCTGCGAGATTAACACTAAAAACATTGACAAAGACACACCGTTGATTGATGCTGTGGAGAATGGGAATGTGGAGGTGGTCAAACTTCTGCTTGATGCAGGTGCCAACCCACGGACTGTGAATGCTGAAGGCGATGAACCTTATGAACTGGTTCCGTCCTTTGTAGATGATGATGAATACGAGGAGATGCGGAAAGCGCTTGCAGACGCCAAGGCCAATTTGCGGCCTGGACGACGCTCAGAGGAAAATACCAGACCAGAGAGCAAGGAACCTTCTTCGCGACGGGCTTCGGCAGTTAGAGGATCAGCAGCTAGCCCCCGAGATTCGCCTCCCATGCGCAGCCCCCCTCCAGTGGGTGTAGCAAATCGACGGAAGGGTGGGCGAAGCGAAGCTACGAGAAATGACCTCCTGTGGACGAAACCCACATTCGAGAATCTTCGAGAGTTTGCTGCCAAAGGTGACGAGGCTGGGGTGGTGAGCATTCTGAATATTTTGCAGAAAGCTGACAATGCTTCCTTGATTGCTGCGGCAAAGGGTGGCCATCACGATGTGCTTTCTCTTTTGTATGCGATGGGCAATGCAGACGCGGATCCAAACCCGTTACGTGGTCAGAAACCAGGTTATAACACGCCTATGCTTGCTGCGATTGGTCGTGGCAACAGCGCTGTTATCCAGCTCATCCTTAACCAACCCGGATTCAACCCTACGCGTCGACTGTTTGAAGAAAGAACATATTTTGAACTGTCTCGCAATCGACAGGGTGAGAACTGGGAGGACGAGCATCAGATTCTGAAGGACGCGTATGAAAGGTTTGCTGGTTCCGACAAGGGTCGCAAGGACGACTCGCCCCGCCGTGCTCGTGGAAAAGAGAAGGAGGAGAAACGCCCCCCACGCCGAACCTCTTCCTCTCCCGTCGCGCGTAAAAAAAACAACAGCCCCAACGCCAACCGAAATCGTGATTCTTTGAAAGACATGGATCTAATCAAAGAAAAGCGTCGTCAAAAAGAGCACGATCCATCACGACCATCGGATTCCTCCAAACCCAAATCTGCGTTATCCGCTAGACGAGACAGCGAGTCTAGTGGGGTGGCACCCAACGAAGACATCCGAAAGAGACGACTCATTCCTGGACGTCGTCCACAGGAGCGTAGGCCAAGTCTATTTTCGTCTGATTCGCTATCTGGACGTGAAGAGGCACCGAAGCCGCGTGTTGACACAGCACTTGACAGCACAATGTCTTTGAAGCGCATTCGCACTGATGGGTCTCCGGAACGATCTCGTTCCCGTGGCACAGACGCTGACCGCTTATCTCCTGAGTCGCGCAAAAAGAAGAGACGGGTTGTTTCTGAAGATAAGTCTTCTGGTGCTACGCACACTGCATCAAAGCAACCTGATGATGTCAGTAAACCACATCCTCGCCGACCAAATGACGAATCTACTCGATCTGCTGAACCTCAACCACACAAATCCATCGACACCTCCAAGAAACCTCCAACTCGCCCAACTTCACCCCGTCATGATCCCGTTAAAAAGAATGGCGATACAAGAAAGGAATCGCATGAGCCCAAAGCCGACACCATGGAAGACACAATGGCCGTCGCTAAACGTCTCGAGCTTGAAGCCCATGAACGTCGAAGAGCCCAGGCTAAGAAGGTGCAAGACGAGCGCGCCGCGAACGAAAAGCGCATTGCAGATGAAGCCGAGCGCGATCGACTTGCCAAAGAAGAAGCTGAACGAGTAGCTCAGGTTGAAAAAGCCGAAGAGGAAGACCGCAAACGCAAGGAGCTTGAACAACGACGCGCCAAACAAGCTGAAGATGATCGTCTGAAGCGGTTGGAGCAAGAACGTGCTCGAGCTGCCAAGATGCGGCGCGATCGCGAGGCAGCAGAGCACCGACGTCGTGAGGCACTTCCAAGTCGCCTTCGTGTTGCAGCGAACCTCGTGGGCTCAAGCAACCCCCGCGCGAAAAGCCATGACTGGCTCAAGTCTTTTATGCCTCTCGTTACCGCTCTCACCCGTCAACTCGACCCCAGCTGTGATGTGGATGTCGCCGACGAGAAATGGATCCCAAACTATTTGGTTGCACCTCTTCTGGCTACCAATGATCTCCAACTTTCGCAGTATCCCAGCTGGGAGAAGCGAAAGGCGACACCGACTCAACGTGTGAATTTGTGGCGAGTCACCCGTCGCATGTTGACCCATACGGATGATGTTGGATTCCAAAGCTCGAGCATCGGACAGATCATGCAGAAGGATTGTGATACACGCCCCAAGTATTTCGAGATGGAGCATGTCTTCTGGATCCGAGTAAGTTTTCTTGTACCTTGCAAGTTATGCTTCAAACTAACAAGTATTTTAGCTTTCCGATTTCACAGACCTCGTCCCACACATTCCTCACCTTCACGGCCTAGAGCTGCAATTCTTGAACATGCACGTCGATCCGGAGCCGCCGACGGCTGGTGCAGATTTCGGCACTCCCCAAATTAATGGCCATGGCCCGGGATCCTCGGTCGAAACCAATGGAACCGGGCTCAATGGTTATGGCCCTTCTCGGTCTAGTACATACGTCTAGTTTTGTTTTCAGCGTCTTTTCGCCAGGACCCGGCGCAATGTCAGCAATTCAGCGAAGCGGTGTACAGTTCGGATTCTGATTGTACGATTATGATACCTCTTGCGTTCAGTGATGATTCGACTATCATTAGGTAGTTTTGTTGGGTTTCTTATGTAGTCACACTGTAATCATGCATCCCCGTGTCAAATAACACTGTTCAAACTCATATCTTCAAGTTCGTATAGATATTTATAGTAACTTATCAAACCATATATAAGCTAGAAAGCTAAAGATGATAAGTGAAAAGTGCCATCAAACCGAACTTGTCGTACATTGTATGGACAAATATATCACGTGACTGCGTTTGCGGGGACAGCATGACATAATCGTAGGGCACACACAGCCGAAAAAGTCGAAATAGCGGGAAATTTCACTGCGCCCGCTCCACCTCTTAATTTCTCTCTCCAACAACTCTACTCTTCGAGGATCATCCGATTTCAAGCATAACAAGCAACAAAATGGTATGTTTTATACCTGCGAATTACCCTCACACTATATCCGTACCCACCCTGCATCCTGTCACGACAATTGAGACGCTGGAATGGACATGGCCGGCGAGAGCAATTGCGTCGCCGCAGTAGAGGTCACCCTCGTCGGATGTTTAATCTATACGCTGCACCGGTCCAAACTAATCCCAAGTCTCAAGAGTCACGACAAAGATCTACACAATGGAACCTTTGAAGCACCATATACTAATAAGAATCCTTAGTCGGACGGAGAAGAGCCCACATCCCCCATTGCCCCCGCCGAGGAGGTCGAGGTTTCTGCCGATGCCGGTAGCGGCCAGATGTCCGTCTTGGACGCCCTCAAGGGTGTTCTGCGCGTCTCCCTGATCCACGATGGTCTTGCCCGTGGTCTCCGTGAGGCCGCCAAGGCCCTCGACCGCCGTGAGGCCCACATGTGTGTCCTGAACGAGGGCTGCGAGGAGGAGGCTTACAAGAAGCTTGTTGTCGCTCTCTGCTCCGAGCACAAGATTCCCCTCATCAAGGTTCCTGACGGAAAGATGCTTGGCGAGTGGGTTGGTCTCTGTATGTTCTCCCTCTATTGATGTAGGCTATTCATCTCGGGGTATGTTTGCTAACATTTTGTTCTTCAGGCACTCTCGACCGTGAGGGTAACGCCCGCAAGGTTGTCAACTGCTCTTGCGTCGTTGTCAAGGATTGGGGTGAGGAGTCCCAGGAGCGCTCCGTTCTCCTCAACTACTTCCAGACCGAGCAATAGATTATTTCTATTGAGTGGCTGTGAGTAGCAGGTCTCGTTTCAGGCGCTGGGTTGACTGGGGGCATTTGTGGTGGAGATCAAAGGAGGAATACATGAGAGGTAGATCAATGTCGAAACTACTGGCTGGACTCGGAGTATCCTCTCTGGGTTTGGTATTTATGATGGTGGAGATCTGTGATATCTCTGTTTGGTCTTTTGAACCTGTCATTTCGAATCACCTAGTCTATAGCCGTGCCCCGTTTACTCGGGTTCGCGGCACCAATGGCATCTGGACATCTTGTCTCCTTTGACACAAATAGGATTTGAAAGTATCTATGTGCTTTCTTGTAGAAGGTTGTTAATATAAGTAATATCAACATTGTCAGCAAGGAACACAAAGGCAATCCGGAAACTCTGCATATGAAGGCTATTGTCCACCAAAAACGACGAAAGTCCCCAATCAATGAATGAAGACTAACACTCAATCGACATATATAGGACGTTCCTACGAGACCTTCTCCTAGATGAAATGCGCCTCTTGCATATGTAACCTTGTCAGTGACAGGAGGCGGTTTTTGCGTAAGTCTCCATTTTCATAAATGAATAACACACCAGTGACACCACATGCCCCAAGTGCTGTTAGCTCACAATTCAAGCGTAAGCACCTAGCACAGCGAGGAATCAAGTGCTGCACTTTCACAGAGGCCTTTTCAAGAGACCTATATAATAATATGAGACAAGAAGGGCAACTAGCTATGTAACTACAATATGAACTTATGTACGAAGTATGTACTCCGTATGGTATCCACCTTTCGACAAGAACAAATGAGAACCAGCAAAAATTGATGTCTGTCTTCCTTGGCTCTATAAGTCAGACATTTTGTCGGTCTCCTAAGGGCCATTCGAGACTATATCAAGCTTAGGAGCTGTACTTCTTAGGGCTGCCCGCAGGAGAGTGGATCATCTGAGTCAGCCGGATTTCGTGACTTCCCTAACTCCGACTGGGTTTCTTTGTTTCCTTGGACAGACGCTCTTTTGAGGAAAAAATCCCCTTTCTTTTTCTTCTTTGCATAGATTCTAATCTTGATGAGAGGTGCATATTGCCATTATTTGCCATCGTTTTACTCTGTATTAGGCTCCACATCCTATTGAGACAAGCATTGTCCAATATCCTAATCCCGATATAACTCCAATCCCGAATCCCACCGGGCATCGGGATGCAATCTGCTCAAATCCAGGGTGGGACCCCTGCGCCATATGGCCGCGCATGTATGAATTGTTCCCGCGCCAAGTGCAAATGTATTCTTTCCGCAACTGGTAGTGGCTGCGAAAGGTGAGTGGCACTGCTAGAGAGTGTGGCAATAGCCTGAACTAAGCACACCGGTAGATGCCAGCGCCTGAACAAAGAATGCCGGCCTGCGCAGACAGTCCGCAAACGCAATAAGCCGGCGTCGGGTTCTAATACTGCCCATCTTGAAGCCAAACTGGATTGGATTATGTCCGCGTTTGAAAAGAGTGGTGTTACCCCCAGTCTTCCTCCAGATTGGCAACCTGTAGACCTAGGGCAGAGTCAACGGCATGAGCCAAGCCAATCTGCACCAATCACTCAAACCTCAACTACAGCTTCTTCTTCGACTGCCGAGGAAGGAAATTACCCTGAACACTTTCTTCCCTCGTATGATCCGGAGATATTGTCTCTGATCTACGTTCCGCCCACCATGGCTCAGAAGTACCTCGACCAATTCCGCACTCGGAATTTGCAATATCTCCCCTTTGTCCACATCCCTTCTAATATAACCTCTGACCAATTGCAACAGAAGTATCCATTCCTTTGGGTATGCATTATGGAAGTGAGCACGTTTACAAATGCAGAAAAAGGTGACTCTTTCGGGAGAATTACCAACCATATTCATCAGAGAGTTATGCTCGACATTGCGCCGAGCATAGATCTTCTCCTTGGGATCATGACTTTCGTATCATGGTGAGTAGAGAAGAAGTACCCTCATGAAAACCACTTTCCTCATTACAATTCTCTTTGCAGGGTCACATACACTAAAAGGCCATTTCTCAATGTCTATGCACACATGCTAATGGCGGTCGTCGCCGAACTTGGGATCAATCAAAGTGTCCCAAATGAGTATTCAGCCATGCATTCTTTCAAGGTCGCTATCGGAATGAAGCAAACTCCACCCACAGCCAGAACACTGGAAGAGAGGAGGGCTGTGCTGGGATGCTTTTTGATTTCATCAAGGTAATTAGCAAATACCCAGAGATCCCTAAGCAATAATTAACAGCTATACTACCAGCACGGCATTGGCAATGTCCAGGATTGACGCTATGCGCTGGACACCGCACATGGAAGAAAGTCTTTCAATACTCACCGATGCTAAAGAGTGTCCCCAGGATGAGCTCCTGATCGCACTGGTTAAGATCTATTTGGTCTTAGACAGAGTCCATCAACTGCGACGGGATGGTGAGGTTTCTATCCCGCTAGCTTTCTATCTGGATAGCTTCAAAAATCAATTGGATACAGTGAAAAGCCAAATTCCGCCTCACCTTCAACAGCACAGTATGTTTATACCTCCCCTGAGTCTTCACAGCTATGATTAACAAGACAAAAGGAGTTGTACTGATGTATCTCTACAATGCCGAAATTGTAATCAACGAATTATCAATAGGAGACCCCGCCATTGCACATTCGCCTGATCTCCATCGACTTGACAGCCTTTACACCTCCCTCCGAGCAACAAAAGGCTGGTTAGATGTATGGCTAGAGCTTGAAGGAGAGGAGTACCTACAGCTATCATGTGTCATTTTTTTCCAATTCACACGAGCCATTGTCAACCTGTACAAGCTCACCATTCTGGAAGACCCGCAATGGTCTAAGAGTATGGTCCGAGACACTGCAAATATCCTCGAATACCTGAACAAAAACGAAGCCGTCATCAGGAAATGCCCAGAATACATCACTTTCGACCAAAGCAGGGAAATGAACCTCCTCGAAAAGGGATTGAGAATGGTTCAAGGCATGCGAATAAATTGGGAGCCGAAATTATTGGAACTATGGCGCCCAAACATGCCCGCGAATAACGAGATCGATAGTGGTATGATCCAGTCCGATACTATACTCCCTGATGTTATGCCTTTGGGTGGGATTGATGAGGCTTGGATGATGGACTTCCTTGGGTCGTTATAATCTTGGTCTATGAAGCTTGAAACGTTAGCTAGGAAGTAACATGAGGATTAACGGCTTTATACATAATATAATATACCCCAGTTCAGTCATATTTGTTGCCATGTAAGTGGGGGACTGAAAAGGAAGATTTCATCATCGCGATAAGGCACAGCTTCAACACATTTGAAATCATCGGGGACTTGGCCTTTGGCGAGCCCTGTGACTGCTTACGGGAAAGTCAATACCCTATGGTCAATACGGTCTTTGTGAACATGATAGATTGTCAGGAGGCGCGTCCCAAAAAGGCTTACAAAAATGTGAGAAGACTCATTCGTCTTGGCAACAAACAAAGCTCATCGCTTATTAGAGACTAAGGTTGAACGGCCGGATTTCGATTTATATCTTGCGATACAATGATGACAGGTCCATGACCACGCAGGAGATAGAAGCAAACCTAGCTTTGCTGATACTCGCTAGGAGTGAGACGACTTTCCCAATTCACTTAATATAGCACGGCAAATCTCCTGGCTGTTATTCCGCGTGTTGTACTAAGGGAGATTGCATTTAGGGTAGTTTGGTTTAGAGAATGCATTTATCTGTTTTCGACACTATTCTACTTAGCCTCGAGGCGGAAAGTCGGAAAGTCGGACAGTCAGACAGTCAGACAGTAGTTCAACCATTTTCACTTGGGCCCAGTAACTGTCTGAGAGGAAAATGAATTTTGGCTTATGATATCTTCAGGGACCGGGCCAACTGTATTCATCCACAACTTTGCCTTTGTGGAGATGCGTCTAACTGCGACCAGGGTCTTCTGGAGCTTCGACTTTGACACGACCATGGACGAGAGCTCAACTGCTTGAAGTATTAGAAATCCTGAAATTTCTGGGAACCCAGGCCGTTGATGGTGAATCACAGCATTAAAAGTGTCTCAATTAGCCGTCTTTAGTTGCCTTTAGTATAACTAAGTGTTGTGAATTGCTTTACAAGGTACCCAGGTAGCCATTCATATTATAGAATCGCTCGCCAAATTCGTGATACGAGAGGAGGGACCATTAACTAGCACGTCACTATCTGCCAATAAACAAAATTCTTGATATTATATGCGCGTGCCCTTTTGGGTAACCGAGAATGTACATATTTATATCTTACTGAGAAATTTACTGCGCATACATGTATAAGATTGTCCTACAATAGTTAGTCCTTCTTATACATATGTGTACAACTTGAAACTGAGACACCAATCAACGCTGGAACTAATGAGATTAAGATCATAGGCTAGGGCTGCACATTTGAAGACAAGACTCGGATTTGATCTTTCTTGAAGATCTAGCCCTAAGACCTGTCTCTGAAGTTACACAGCATGAAGTTTAAGTGAGTTGACCGTTGGGTGTATCAATCTTTCCCGGTGAGGCCGGCTTTGTGGCGAATTGAGATGAATATCTAGATCGGACGACATGCAAACTTGACAAGGGCCTAGCTTATGTATCGCAATCTAAAAGCAAGAAAAACATCAAAGATAAGGTACAGCTTAAAGTAGCACACTCGGATAGCAAAGTCGAGTATAAAGGTTGCTTCTTACACAGCAGTCGATCTACTACTCACCATTGACTATTTTAAAACATCGCAATCAATCAAAAGAATGTCTAGCTTTGTCTATATTTTTGCACTCGTGCCTTTGGCACTGGCTGCCAGTATGATCAGGATGGTCCCTAATCAGGTACGGCTATATGGAGTGTGTACACCGGATCAACTTGTTTACTCTTTATCTAGGCTATGATTCTTAAAGAACACGACTTCGCAATAAATGCTGGCCGAAAAGGAGTGCTCATTGCGTCTGATGGAAATTGCATGGATCTTGACAACATTTCCGACTAGTAAGTTGAATATTATTCCCAAAAACATGAAGTTTTGTTGACGAAAGTATCAGCCGCATAAATTTTGGATCAATCTACGTCCCATGTCCGTCCGAGGTCAAGGAAGACATGATCTGCTCAATGTACTCCTAAGTAAATAGCCTCTGACTACAGGTTTATGGTGTTAAATTATCTAGCGATAACTCTTGCAACAACGAGCTGTTCACATTTACTCGACCCCATGCAAATTTGTTCAGACCAGCTGTTGGCGATAGTGTTGGTAGACATGTCAGAAGCATTAAATGCACGACAGTTCATTCTCCTGCCGACAGACAGGAACATGTATTCTCAAGTGATCATGCATCTGCCAAGAGTCCAAGCAACTGCCCCAATGACAGCTGTTCCAGTGAACTGGACTGTCAATCAAACCACCCGGATTATGGTATGTACTGCTCTTCGAGCTCTCTGACCTGCCAGTGAACCTCTGAGACTGGCAGACATTGCGAAGGAGACAGTCGATGTTCTGGGGGACAATTGTTCGAGTGGAGAGTGTATGACTGTTGCAGAAAACTCGCGTTTTCTGCAGGGCTCTGGGTGACCTTCTGGCCTGCAGTGTCGTCCGACTCATTTTCATTGGTCTGGAGCTTCTAATGTGGAGATGGTCTGCATGAAAGATGAGGATGCTCGCGGAATACAGTGCTCTGCTGAAAGGCCTTGCCAAGAGCATATATCGTGTGTTCTTCAGCATGAGACTAACACGTACTGTGAGTGGAATGGTACTTGTGGGCTGAATACTATGAGCTGTGAGTCGGGCAGTCAATGCTGCTCTGGATTTTGCAAGGCCAACTTATGCCAGTGATAGTCTTTGCGGAAGATGTCAAGCTTGGAGGAAATGGTATTTGAATTGAGATAAAGGCTGAATCTTAGCTCGGCTTATGCAACAAATTTGTTTGAAAGTTACTCCTTTCGGGGACACAGCCGCTGAATTCTTTCCAATGCATCCTCTCGAATTTCGCGGACAATATCTTCTGCAGGTTTCACACCATGTATCAGTCCCACAGAGGCTCCTGCATATGTCGCAAGTCTCCCTTCAGGCCCCCAGCCGTTATCGCCCGTCTTAGCAGCCTCATCATGAAGTCTTCTCAGTTCCTCGAAGGGCTTCCCTTCCTGCCGCTCAACAAATGATTTGTTCACGATAGTCCGGGGACTATATTGCTCCGGCCACCCGAAAGTGCCTCGGAGGTGATTATATAGTAGCGTACGCGTGGTTGAGGCCGCACCATCGACCGCACGTACAACCTCGTCCTGGTAGCCCTGGCTAATGCGTGCTTCACTAGCAGCCAGGAATCGAGTCCCCATCACCACGCCCGAAGCTCCAAGGCACAAAGCCGCTGCAACACCGCGCCCATCTGCGATTCCGCCAGCTGCAAACAAAGGAATTTGGCTGCCTGACATGGCATCTGCCACTTCGGGAAACAGTGCCATAAGCCCCATTCCGTCTTTCGCCCGACCATGGCCACCAGATTCAGCTCCTTGCAGGACAATGACATCTGGTCGCTCACTGTTCAGAAGAAGCTCCTTCGCCTCCTTCAGAGTGCCAATTTGAATCCAGATTTGGGTGTCAGGGGATACTTGGCGGATCTTGCGAGACCAGTCGTCGTATTCCTTGGGTCCCTGGCGTGGAGCGTATAGCCAGGCTGCACATGGTTTATACTTTTCGATAGCGGCGACGGCAACATTGATGTCGTCAGCCCAGAGCTGGTATCCTATGCCGACAGGCAGTGTCGAGCCGGGAGTTGGTTTTATGCCGGCCTCTTGGTGTATGAGCGATGATGCTTTCTCGAGATCATCACTTGTATCCTGTGTTTTGGCACCGGGGCCAATGAACCCTAGCCCACCAGCGCGAGAGACGGCTACTGCCAATGCTGGACCGGACATTACTTTCATAGGTGCGCTGACCACGAATGGAGTAGATACCCATGGGTATCGCGATAGCAAGCTTGCCGCCATAGTTTGATGCTTGGGATAGTTGGTAGATATTGCTATTTGGATAATATGGCAGTGAGAGCGGTAGTTGTGTGGTGCCTTGCGTTTTGTAGTTGCCGAGGAATCGTTGACGTCACCATAGAAACCCCACAATGTCCGCATACAAAACAAACACCAAATGTGGCTGGAGGAAGTTGCAAGGCCTCGGGCATCACATGCCATTCCCGCAATATCCGCAATATCCACTGCCCACTCATTCCATCCGTGATACCCTACTTATCCCATTCCACTCGGAAATTGCGGGATCTCTATCCTGCTTATTGTTCGAAGATATGCCACACTCCGACCTCAAGCGAATGCGCACTAGAGTTGCCTGTTACCCATGCCGGGAGCGTAAAAGAAAATGCGATGGCGCTGAACCTTGTGAAACTTGCAGTCAATGGGGCTATGATTGCCACTACAAACGTCAGTCACGACAGAGGAACCATCCTCCCCAACAACCACAGAGAGAAATTGGTCCAGATCCAAGGCCTCCACAGCAAACCGACTCGGTTGATACACACGGGCTGGATCGTCGGTTGTGGGCAAACTCCGGTGCTGCGTTTGTTCGGAGGATGGGTCTGAATATCGATCCTGCGAAAGCGCCAAAACTTAGCCTTTTCGGTTGGAATATTGGAAAGCGACAACTGTCGTCTGAATCTCAAGCTGTATATCCTGTGCTGTCAATTACGGATATCACATCATTGGAACACATGAGGACCCTCGCTCAGGTCTACTTCACCAAGATTGCTCCATACTATGGCTTTATTGATTCTTCTCAATTTTTTGAGCGACTGGAGGCTAGGTGGCAGTCTCCCATGATTAGTAGTCTATATGACAGTGTTCTAGGTGGGGTCGCTGCACTAGGTTGTTTGCATTCCCAACGAAACATGACCATCACCGAGTTGCATCTCATCGCATCCGCACAATCTATTCTCGACTCTCACGTTCTGTGTGGGGCTCCCCCCGTAGACCTTCTCGTTGGGTGGACATTGCGAGTCGTCTATATGCGAATGACAGATCTGCCTCACTCAACATGGATGGCGAGCTCGAAGTTGATGCATTTGGTGGAAGCTGCAGGATTCCATCTAGAGTCTACTGATTCAGTCTTTCCGCGTAGTATTGACACGGAGTTTGATCCAGACATCCAAAGGCGAGTCTTCGGCGTGGCACTACACCTGAATATGTGGACTTCTTATGATCTTGGTTTATCAAGAGTGTCCTTTCGAAAGAATGATCTGCCATTACTCCCATCAACTATCGAGGGTGACTACACGCATGAGCTGCTGGGGCTTATTCCATTATCGGCAAGCCTAGATCCAGGAAAGCCAAAAGAAGATGATATCAAGCTAGAAGAAACGCTTGTGCAGATACTAGAAAGAGTCCATAATGAGCCTCCCTCGGCCATGGCGCAATGCAATCTTGTGCTTTGCATTCTGCGCAGAATTCACACAGAGAAACTTGAGATCTCTCCTCTCCTCGCAGAAAAAGCCTTAGCGGTGCTGGAAAAGGGACTTTCTTGCTCACGCACTATGGTCGCGAACTGCACTCCCTGGCAACATATGGCAAATGTACCTTTCCACATCATATGTCTCTTGCTTGTGATGGACACACGCCAATCGCTAGCGCTACTCCCCGAAGCAATGCAGACACTGAAGTTCGTCGCCTCCACTTACGATACAAACACCTTGAGAGAAGCCTGGAGTGCGGCTCTCTTGCTGGTTATGCTTCATCAACAACGGAGGAAAGATGATATTGCGATCTTCAATGACATCATGAACATGGAGGAACAAGAACGTCCAGCTGGACTATCCCCGCAAGAATTTCCAAGCGCGGAAGAGTACTCATGGCTAGGGGCTTTGGTTGCTGATCTACCCGGTTTGCAAAGGGATGACCTTGATCAATTTCTGAATTCGGATATGATTGATAGTTCAAGTTTCTTGGGTGGAGCTAGATGAACCCTACCTAGAGGCACTTAAGTTTTTGAGACATATCTAATTCTGTGTGAACATTGTCTTGCCTCATTTTAGACCTTGTAATTTAGTTTTGCTTTGAAGTTCCACATGGTACAAAGCCTTGCGGAAATTGCGGGCGCCTTGCTGTGCCTGGCTGGTAAAATTCTCTGTTCCGCAATACCCGCTTCTATACATTGGGAGATCAAAAAGCTGTTTGAACAAAAACATGCACACCCATTATTTATTAGTGTTCATAACTCAATATTCCACCACAGTACAGGAAGCTCGGCCTGAATTCAGCATACCTGGACATCCAACCATCAAGCTCATCGACAGAACGTGTCTGCACGTCGCTACTCTATCAAGTCCAAAATGCATGAGAAGACACTGATAGGAGCCAATAACGCACTTCCGCCAGCTCTTTCCAACACAGTAAGCTATGTTGATTTTGAAGGGACCGATGACCCCGAGCATCCTCAGAATTGGAGATTGTCTACAAAGTAAGCCACAAGTCCAAATCAGCCAAAGATCTGGATATTCTGAATGCAAACTAACCACATTCAGGATTTTTAACTCTACACTAGTCTGCTCAGGCACCTTCATCGTCTCACTAACAAGCGCCATCTTCGCACCGGGAATCGACAAAGCAAGCAAAGCGTTCGGGGTCGGGACAGAGGTCGGAACACTGGGAACAACCCTCTACGTCCTTGGCTTTGCCACAGGACCCCTCATATGGGCACCTGCATCAGAGCTACGGGGAAGGAAATGGCCTCTGACAATTTCAATGTTAGGCGGTGGAATCTTCACTATTGCATCAGCAGTGGCCAAAAACATCCAGACCCTGATCATATGCCGTTTCTTCGCTGGCATGTTTGGCGCAAGCCAATTGACTGTTGTTCCCGCTGTATTAGCCGATCTATACAGTAACGCTACTCGTGGTGCTGCAATTTCGCTGTACGCCCTGACCGTTTTCGTGGGGCCGTTTACGGCTCCTTTTGTGGGTGGCTTCATTGCGTCGAGTTATCTTGGCTGGCGATGGACTCTTTATATCCCGGCAATTTTCAGCCTGTCAATTGCGCTATTGAGTTATTTCTTTTTGGCTGAGACATATCCGGCTTCTATTCTCGTGACGAAGGCTACTGCTATCCGCAAAGAGTCCCGAAATCGCAATATTCGTGCCAGACATGAGGATGTCGAGGTCAGCATCGCAGATCTCGTGGAGAAATACTTCACACTTCCTTTGAAGCTGCTCTTCACAGAGCCTATTATTCTCGTCGTGTCAACTTACATGTCTTTCATCTACGGCATTGTCTATGCGCTTCTTGAGGCATATCCCTACGTCTTCGAGCATGTTCACGGAATGACTCCTGCTTTTGCTGGTCTAATGTTTATTGGCCTCATCATTGGCGTGGTACTTGCATGTTCCTTTATTCTTTTCGGACAGTTGGCCTATGCAAGGAGACTGGCAGAGAATAAAGGCATCCCAGTGCCCGAGTGGCGCCTCGCTCCACCACTCTTAGGAGCGCCTGTCTTTACAATAGGTCTCTTCTGGTGAGTAGAATGATTTTCTATTAGAATGATGTATGATGTCAGCTAACTGTCCATCAGGTTTGGCTGGACGGGGTTCACCCCTCAGATTCACTGGGTTGTACCTGCCGCAGCCGGGATATTCATCGGCTTCGGTGTGCTGTGCATATTTCTTCCATGCTTCAACTATCTCGTCGATGCATATTTGCCAATGTAAGTTCTTGGCCCCTCTACTTGAAGTAGTCAAGACACTCTGCTAACCTGAATTGTAGCGCTGCTTCAGCTGTCGCTGCCAACATCATTCTTCGGTCAGCAGTAGCTGCGGGCTTTCCGTTATTCGCGAGGCAGATGTTTCAAAATATGGGAATTCAATGGGCTAGCACGCTACTTGGATGTTTAGCCGCAATCATGATTCCCATTCCGATCATATTCAGGGTTTATGGACCATGGCTGCGAGGAAAAAGCAAAATATTTGCATAAAAGTGCCATAACCTGGATTTTGAATGAGGTGACTTTGTGGGTTCTTTCCGTATAGACAGGTCACAGTGAGCCACAGCTGCTGCCAGGCCGAAAAGCATACATAGTGTGTTGATAAGAGTTGAAATGCTTCATTTACATATTCTCAAGGTCCAAAAAGGTTCGCACTCATCTTAAAAGCTCGATCGAGCTTTAGCTCTAAGTGATCGTCCCAAAGTAAACAAGCGCTAATGGAGCCGATACCAACCCAATGATGGCGATCACGCTGTTGCCCGATCCATAACCAAGAACTTCGTACATATTGGGCGTAGATAGCTTCATTCTAATTCAGTATTTTAATTTCTGTCAGTTAAAATAAGGCATAGTTATTACGGCATATTAAGGCATCAGCTCTACAAAATCAGGCATTCGGCCACTGACCGCTATACACCTTCGCACGCCACTAAGCTGCTTTAGGCTTCAGCAGTTCTGATGACGTGGATTGCGTCGTAGCAGCTTCGGAGAAAAGAAATTCATGTGGATATCTTTCATTATTATGTAAATTGAGAGCAGGAGGGACGAAAAATGTGATAACATTGGAAAATAATACAAACGAACTGCTCCCCTGAGCTCTGTTCACATGGAGACTACAATTATGATATTGAACAAACTCAATTAGTTTACTTCAAGAGTCGCAATCCTGTATAGGGGCTCTCTCCGCTCATTCGAGGTTATTGTCGATCGAACTGTCCACGGCCCATCCATTGAGCATAGTGTAGTCGGAGTATGGCGAGGTGCCGTGCAGGGTTTCATAGTGCTTGCGAGGCCCACACTCTCTCAACTTGGCAGAGTCTGCGTTGACGCACCGCTTCTGCATGATAGCCGCGATCTGTCGACCCGCATCCTGTCCTTCATAGTATGCACCGTGAAGGAAGCCAAAGAAGGTCGGGCTGGTAGCCTCACCGGCAAACCAGAGCCGGCCAGCGTTGGCACGAAGGTTCTGATGCATCTCCAAAGATGTGGAAGGAGGCCAGTTGGAGTAACTGCCGTAAGCCCAGGGCTCTGAGGTCCAGCGTGGGTACATGAATGCAGTTGGCTCGGGAATATCCTTCTCCGGGAACATCTTGCGCAGAACTGCCATTGCTTCCTGCTTGGTCTGCTCGTCTGTTTGGCGCTCGGCCCGATAGGCAAACTCGTTGGTCACGGTCACGAAAATGATGTTAGAATCCGGGAGGAATCCGGGAGTAGATAGTGACTGCCAGATCGGGTACCAGCCACGGGTCACAGGATCAGCATAGAGGTGGTATTGTGTTTCCGAGGGCCAGAAGGTCTCGTTGAACTGGAAGAAGATCTTGGTGTATGTTCCCATGGTGAACTTCTGAATAGCTTCCTGCTTCCAATCGGGGAGTTCTGGGGAGAAGTTCACTGCGCCATTTTGCAGAACTCCCAGCGAGAATGTGGTAATAGCATAGTCTGCCTCAACGCAGCTGCCATCTTTGTTGTGAACAGTGACACCATCGTCCGAATACGTGATGTTCGTGACCTCGGTGTTCAAATGAAGGCGGGTATCATTGCGAGTGAGGAAAGTCGAGGCGAGCTTCTTAACAATGATATTGAATCCGCGCTGGTCCAAAACAAACTCATCGTGGTCGCTGAAATAGTTGAAGGTCAAATTGTTGCCCGCACAGCCGAAGACAAATGAGCTCTCTATTGGGGAGTAAGCAGCCTCAAAGTCTAGTCAAAGATGTTAATATCGCGCTAGTTGCATCTGCAAGAGAGATAACTTACCCCACGACCACCAGTCAGCAGCCTGTGCCTCCATATCATGTACCTTGGGGTTCCAACCAGCCAAGGCCATGCCAGACTTGACGTTTTGATCCTGGAGATTCTGAGTAAGAATCTCACCTGCCCTCTGGTTGGCAATATCATAGGCGTCGTCATAGGCATCGAGGAGATCGCTATAGTCAGAATAACCATCCTTGTTGTAGGTAGAGACATTGTCATAATTTGCCCATTCGGTGGTCAATCCGTATTTTTTAGCCTGTCCGAGGTCAGTTCGTGTCCGATCGAAGGTATGTTCAAGACTTACCAAGCCCCAGATCGGGTTCTGTGGACCTCCTTCCCTGCCAATACCTTGTACCTGGTTGACCTGTCAGCGGTGTCCTTTCCTGTAGCTGAAACATGCATACCCAATTGGCACCCATCTCAATAGTATAAGGCTTCCCATCTTTGTCTTCACCGAACGACTTGTGCCAAGCCCGACCGCCGATAGTATCGCGATACTCGAGAATCACGAAATCGTGCACGGAAGCATTCGTTAGGGCTTGCTATGAAATTGTCAGTGATAGTCCAAGATAAAGCAAAGGGGAAACCTACAGCAGCAGTAATACCAGCCACACCACCTCCCCTATACTTGGTGAGCTTTTGACATCGATCAATAAGAAGTCCAGCACTTACAAGATTGCAACCTTAGTCTTCTTGCACGTTCCCTCAGCTCGAGTGCGATGAGGCGCACCGATAGCAGGCTGGATAGCGCCTGCTATCGCGACCAAAAACGAAAGGTGCTGTAAATGCATGGCGAAGCTCTGGAGATCGCAAAACAGCCCCGGGGATCGATTGCAATAAATAATGCAGAAATCGACCCCACACAGGGCTGTACCTGCACATCCAGAGAAAGATAAGAAGCCGACTCCACGCAGCCACGCGACCCGGGAACTCCGACTTCCTCACACCTTCCGCAATCGGGCAAGTACATGCGGGAAGCTAAGAGAAGCCTAATTTAAAGCGATATAGGTATCTGCGGGGAGGCCTTCAATATCCTCCGTTTTGTGATTTAATCATCTCTAATCTCATTCCTATTACGTTTGGAATGCTGAAATTAGCCTGGTCCGTCCATGTGGATATTCCTAAGTATCAGATATACTCGCGTTCAACCCGGAATCTTCGAGATACCCTAATCGATAACAACCAGGGGCTACTCGAGCCCCGATTGTCATCCAATGTGCTCATGATATCGAATATCGTCGGAGTACGATATCAGTTCCGCTAAAATGGTGCACAGGCAAGGAACCATATTCGACAATTAGTCCCGGCACTGTAGCCTCGGCAGTCATACGTACCTGGAATGGCTCGAAAGCCGTGTAGCTCTGTGAACATGCAATTGAATTGTTTCAGGCAATGTCCCCGGATGATCGTCGTAAATGACTCTTTGAAAAGGCTGCAGGAAAGACTATTGCTTCCACTAAGGACTTCATGCTCACCTCGGCGATTTGAGATAATCTAGCAAGCTCCGGAAGGTCGTTGGCAGATAGAGTTCGTACTATTGTTGCTGAGGTTGTTTCACCGATGATCAATCCGAGCTGTTGGCCAACAGAATAGGCAGTAATTGTTGTCTACCTTCCCACCTCGACTCCGTGCCGACAAAGCTACAAATTATGTGGTAAATAGGCCCGCCATTCCGGTTCCTGCAAGGAACACTGGGATCAGACTAAGATAGTTAGAGCTGGAGCACCAGAAAAGGAGCACTGCGAAAGAGATAACCGTTGTTCTTAACCCAATAATAGACGGTTTTTTATATTTCACAGTTCTGATTCGATAGTTAGACTTAGCATCCAACTTACCGACGAATGAACCGACCATGAATAATTGAGCCGAGAGCGATACCTAGGGGGAATGTCAAATTACGAGGCGGGATAAGCCCAACGTTGGCCCTGCACAATCAAACATAAGAAAGGGAAGGTTCAAGGTGAGCTATTTGGTTAGCAGAGTAGCAACACCATCAAATTCCCAATCGAAACCCGTAGGCCGCGGAGGACTCCGAATTGTAAAAGCTCCTGACAAGCGCCGTAACGTAACGACCGGGAAGAAAACAATAAGGAGGAACAGTCCTATGAATGACATGTTTGCCCATTAGTTCGGAGATACACAATTCTCAGGGATGGATGGTCCCATCGCAGCCAACACTTTGATTGGATCGCCGAAGCTTACCCAACGTAGAGGTAACTGAAAGGTAGCTTCGTAATACCACAACTTTGAACGGACAAACAAGATCTCCTTGTAACCCACTTCTTGTATGCAATGGACACGGAAAGGCCGTGTATGATGGGGAGGGGGGTTATCTAAAGTCACAGTTAGAACAATGAGGTGTCATCGCAATAGTTTCCAATGTTGGCTTTGAGAAGTCGACCGCTCAAGTGGCAATCGTGGCATCAATGGGCATCTGTCAGGCGCGGGTGATCTACAAGTTATCTCTAACCAGCATGGCATTTGTGGTCGAGAGATTTATTCGTCATCCAGTGAATGATCTTGTCAAGGCAGCTGAGACAAATAGGAAAGCCCCAGTCATTTTTCTCATGGTAGTGTCAATTCGATTCACAGAGGCCGAGAGATGATTAGTCGAGTTTGCCGATGTCTTTGATTGGACATGGCCGAACACTTCTGCGCGAGTTCTGAGATACTTCAATTGCTGTCTCGATGAGATCAGGTTAGTTTCTGATATGTCAAATACATAATGAGCATGTGGTGATGATCTGCAAGGCCCTTGAGATAAGTGGAATTTCCTCATTTCCGGAGTCCCAGGGCAACCAAAAAGAAAACATCTTTGTCCATAGATACAAAACACATAGGACACGTAGTCAAGACATCAGGAAACAAGGCAGAAGGATTGCAGCAGTTGATGACCACAGATCTATTCCACAAGAAATAGAAATAAACCGAACAAGAAAAACACCGCCGAGCTATGCAAACACCGTGTCAGATGCCATCTGACGTTTTCCCGAACGCCAAACCAGAGACACCGAAGGTTCAGATAGAGAGCACCAGAAGATTATTCTGGGCTAAAGCAAAGACAAGAAGAAAATGATATGCAGAGAAAATTTGCTTTCAGCGGAAGGCGTAAGAAGGGCGAACCATTTTCGATACTTCTGGATTTAGAGAGAGCTGCTGGTAAGGCGAGCTTCCTGGGTCATAGTACAGGCCTTCGATGTGTCCGTCCTCACGGCGAAGAGAAATGTAGTAGAATCCGGAAATAGTAAGACCTTGACGAGCATCTGTTGGGGTGATGAAGCATCGCTCTACGGCATGTTAGCAAAAAATAAAAACATACATGATCTTTCGCTACTTACCCTTCCATCTCATCAAGATCCATCCTTGAGACAATTCCTCGGTAATCCATTTCCGATTCACAAGATTCCGGGCCATCTCAGCATCTGTCAGATCCTTAAACGGCTGCAGTTCACGCCAGTATGTGCTATCAATGTCTGCATCTGCCTTGAAGTTCTTTGTCGCCAGCGTGTGATTGTTGAAATCGATGATCTCGCCCTCCAAGAAAGTCACAATGTGTGCGTCGTGGGTGGGCGAGGTCTTATCGGGAATGTTGTAGGCCTCCATAGTGCCGGATAATGTCATGTCCTCGTGGTTGATCTGGTGTATCGTGACCTTGACAGGCCAATTTTCATCACGATTGTTAGCTAAGTATCGGCGGCCACTTGTAGTAGAAACGCTGATTCGTGCACTCTCACTTCCATTTACAATGACAGGCTCACTGGGGGCGTTCGGACTAGCAATACGCTGCGACAATATTGAACACCCGGCACTTGCAGCTCTTTGGCAGCCTGAAAAGGCCATTCCAGATCGAAGCCATGAACACTCCGCGGGTGGTGCGATGTTGCGAGTGTACATAATGAAGTTCGCGTTTCTCCAAGATTTGCTATCCATCGAGAAGGGTATCCGACTGTCCACCAAGACACGCATACTATCTTCGAGAGAGTTTGAATGCCGAATGCGCTCGAGATAGTGGATGGTCTCCCCTAACACGTTGCGCATACTTGTGTCCGAGTGTAGCTGGCGATGAGCGGCAGCCCGAGCGCGTAGGTCGTTGTGGGTGAGGTTGGTATTGTGTGGGTCACCGCGCGTCGTAGGACGGTAGCGGTATCCCCGAGATGCGACCGCTGCTGTATTTTCAGCGTCCTCCTCTGGAGTGATATCTGAATAGCGATCGATGATGTAGTTCTCCAGTGTGCGACTCCTCGAAAGCCGGGGCTGACGCCTTGCAGATTGTAACAAAGCCGCCACTGCAGAGATCGATGTCCGAGCCTGGTTACTACGCGGTAACGTCGCAGAATCATGCGGCATCAGTTGCGCAGGGCCCAGGGCCTCATTGCGCGGAGGTCGTGCGGGGGGTGGGTCACGACTTGAGATAGCACTGAGGAAAGGCTGCATCTGATCGTCTTCCGACTCTTCGCGCGCAGCACCATCCTCGTCATCAGAGCCGGGTGCCCATCCATACAACGACCGTGAGTTGGGCATTCGGCCCTCGTAGTTCGGCATGTCGGTTGATCTCTCCTGGTGGCGGACAATAGGGATGCGACGGTTGAGTTCAACAGACGCGCGCAGGTTCGTGGGATCATCCACCTCCATGCGGTCTTCGTTTTGTGGTGGCGGATTAGTCGGATAACGACGGCGACGTTGTCGGCTCAGGGAGGGTAATAGCGGATTGAAGAGAGCTGGTCGCGATCGCAGGAAGTTCACGTTGTCATCGTGAGCATTATCGGTCTCCACAGGGGCAGGTGTGGGAATCGACGATCGGCGCGGAGGGTCAGGTGCCGCGGTCGTCGGGGAGAGTGGCGTGCCGTACTAAAAGATATTAGTTCACAAATTATACTGGGGTGGGTTGCAAGGATAAAACATACTGGGTTAGGAGGCGGCATTCTGATCAGAATGCGCCGTCAAGGGGTGTGCAGGATCGACGTTGGCCATGCAAGGCCAAGAGACCAATATATGTGTAGCAACAAACAATTAAGTCCGGGGAAAGATGTCCACGAATCGCCTGAGAAAGTGTCGGATGTTGTGCTTCTAGGACTTTGGGGATGTGGAGAGGCCCGCAACGTATGACGTTCTTCCTTTCAACCGGCTCAGGGCCTCTGGAAGAATCCGTGGACTTCATTGAACTTCATAGGGATTCCAAGTTGATTTTTACGTATTCTTATTGAATTTTATATAGCTGAGAGTCAAATCCCCTGAAAGCCAAGAACGTGGAGCCCCCTGTTCTGCAAAACAAACATACCAAAATGGTGTGATCTATATAGGTCATTCAAACCCCTTTAAATGAAGAACAAGCTTACATCGAGCTTGCCATATCCTAGCGATTAAACCTGAATGGCTCTCCATGTTGGCAACCCGATTCTTCATTTAAAGGGAAATTGCGTTTAGGGGGCATTGGTTACCTCCTATTAGATTGCCTGTCGGGTTGTCTACGGGCCAAATAAAGGCTTTGATAAACAATGCATATGGTCATGAGTCAGTATCTAGGTACTAAGAACAAAGAATGAAATTTCTCGGAGTACAGCTTGTGACTATTTGGAAGGCAAATCCTGTTCTACAGTCTCCATCAAGATATTGTCCTAAACAGTGGAGCTCTATGTGCAATTGAGGATCTAAATCACAGTCTAAATATTAACCAGAACCCTGAAAGGATTTACAGACCATCTAAAATGTTGCAAATCAGGCCACGCGTGCAGCATTGCAATCATCGGCCAGCTGGACACATTGTAGGACCATGTTCCAGAAAGCATCTAGATCAACACCCCTGGGAATAGCAACACCCGGACCATCAACAGGAGTAGCGATCGAGCGCCCCAGTTGACCTGTAATAGATACATCTTTCCCGTGCTTTCCATCGGTGACAATACTCAAAGCAAAACGCTCGCCGCCTTTGTCATCAAAAGCGAGAGTTTGATTGGGGTGCACGTTGGCAAAGGCTGGGTTCAGCGTCGACAGGATCGCGGCCACAGCAAGGGGATCATGCAATGGAGGCCCGGTGGTCAAACCAAAGGTTTTCTCGTATGTGGCAGCAAAGAAAGTGAGTAGCGCGTGCAATATCTGCCGAAGGATAGTAGGATCCTCGGCCGAGTGGATCGAGCCATACAAGATGCGCGTTTGAACAGCCTGTGTGGCCAAGACCTGATGTGTGAGATCTAAAGCCATAATAGCTGTCTTAGAAGCAAGAACTGGGTTGCTAAAGATTGACTCAGCAGACTCTGGGTCACACTATAATACCATCGTGATTAGACGAGCCAGAGAAGGATGAAAGGTTTTGCGAACGTACATAGAAGTTGAACTCAGCCCATGGGGTCACATTTCCGATCCTAGCCTTCTCACCAGGTAGTCTACTCATGGGGGCATCGGTGAATCCTCCACCAATGGCACCACCCATAATGCTCAGCCCTTGGATGTGTTCAGCTACCTCGGGGAATGTGGCAAACAACAGTGCGGCGTTGGTCAATGTACCCGTTGCAACCAGCCAAGGAGTTCCTTTGGGTTGTGCAAGAAGAGCATCTCTCATGGCCACAATGGCGTTCTTATCGGTGATGGGTGCTCTAGTGGCCTTGGGAAGAAGGTCAGTCCCATCAAGACCGGACTCGCCTGGAAAGTGTTATTAAAACATTCTGCTCCTGATATCAGCATCAACTTACCGTGAATATCAGGTGCATGAAGAGCAGGCCGTGAAAATGGCTTATTGCTACCAGGATAGACGGGAATGTCAGGCTTTCCGATCGCTTCCAAGACGCTGCCGGCATTGGCGGTTGTCTTCTCTAATGATGCATTTCCATGGACAGTACTGATTCCAAGAAGCTTCAAATATGGGTGATGAGCGGCGATCAAAATTGCAAAAGCATCCTGTATCGTATTAACAAATGTCTCTCTAGAATTTCTTTGATGCTTACATCGTGGCCTAAGAACAGTCAGTAATAAGAAGGCGGAAGGAACATGATAGACTGACCAGGATCGCAATCTAACCACAAGGGAGTAGGACTATATTGATTAACTTGGTCTAACATGGTGGATACCTTAGAGCAACAAATGGAATTGAAAATCAAGAGGCCACTTGGGCTCTTAAGTACATTTGGCCGGACATAAACAGATCCCCGCATCAAAGGAGGGAGATAAGGCTTATCTTGAAGCCCTAAGCCCTATGGTCCCAATTGGGTCGATACAGATTATCAACGCTTCTAATGTCGACCTTACTGCTTTTAACAGAGAACGCTTTTTTCCTTGATATGTGTTGAACCAACTCTAAACATCTGTGCGATGAAATGAATGATCCGCTCCGCCCCGGCCTTCAGCCGATATCTCATCTTAAGGCTGGGCCGACAACCTCCAGCTCCAGATCCACCGCGCTGCCTTCCCCAACGACGCTTCAGCCTCCTTCGCGTCCTTCATCTCGACTCCGTACACAAAGAGATACTGGCAAGGATGATCTGGACTCCGTTAGTGACAAGGCCACCACCGCTCTAATCCGACGCGTTCTATGCCCCCAGACAAGCAGCCACGGAGCATCTTCCCCACAGCCTCCGGAAGAGCTGTTACCTCCCCTCACGAGCTCCAATGACGTTGATCGTCAACTCTACGCCCTTCTCGCCATCATAATAAAAGAATTTGTTTACTCGTGGTACTCGAAGATCACCCCCGATCAGGCTCTTGTGAATGAGGTTCTACAAGTAATCGCGCATTGCACGCGTGCACTCGAGCAGAGGCTGCGCCAAATCGACGTTGCACAATTAGCCCTGGATGAAATCCCTAGCCTGGTGGAAGCACATGTAATCTGTGAGACTTGACCGTTCTAAAGTCCCTCTTGTCGGAATCCATAGTTGTTCCGAGAAACATTGCTGACTATGATCTTCCAGCATACAGACTGGCCAGGCAACAGTCACATCTTTCTGGTCTACCGACATCATACCGTACAATCTATCATGAGCTAAACCCACACCCTGGTCTTTCTCCAGTACCTGATCCAGGAGATCCAGATACAATCGTCGAGCAGACAGACAACGAAGCGGTCTATCGCCGACTACTCGCCAACGGTATCCTAGCAGTTCTTCTTCCAACGGAAGATCTCGAGAACAGCAGTCTCCGGGCGCTTGTGGTTGATATCATAGCAGACCTCATTCTAGGAAACCAAGTCAGTGGCAGGGCATGTGAAGGATGGTTCATTTGGGAAACTATGGGCAAACTCGCCGCTCAAGTGGGACACCGTCAAAACCAAGATGACACAAAATCTGCCCCGGACGCTGGAACCAATCGACTAGAAAAATTCGGCTTGCTTTCAACCGAAGATGAGCAGCTCCCGGACCAGCCACCGGCGTCGTTCTCGGCCACTGCTTGGATATGGAACCTTCTGCAGACGGTTTATCTTGGTTACGTCGTCTTGCGTTTCATTGCGATAGGCTTATTTCGTGTTGCATCGAGTCCAGGCCCTTCTTCGCACGGTGTTGGTGTTTCACCTGCCTTACCCATCGACCAAAAAAGAGATGGGATGGAGTCGTCCGATGGCATCACACGTAGGCGGCCGGTTCTCGACTACCGGATGTATGCCATGATTTCGCAGATCCTGGGACTCTCATGGAGAACGCCATGGCTGAGTGGATTGCTTGCCCTATCCCAATACCTTATTTTGGCAGGCCCAGGCAGGGTCGGCGCTACGGACGGAATCTTAGATAGGTAAGTTCTTGTTCTATTTTCTTTTTTTTTTTTTCTCAGTCTGCTGCTTCTCTCTGCAACCCCTCAACGCCCCAACACTCGAGGGCTCAGGCCTTGGGAATCAAAGACTGTGGAGCAACGGTACGATCTCCGAAACGCAATCTACGGGTCAAGTGTCACTTGTGCGAGTCAAGGTGGGACATGAAGCCTCTTGCTCGCATGCTGCGTCGGTCACTTGATCTGTAACCTTGGAAGGCTGCAATTACCTGTGCGAGGGATTACGGTCATCTTACGACCTTACGAGATCTCCTTACTGTACGGTCATTACCGTCAGTCTTACCAGGCTGTTCTGGCATCGGATTGGTTGCCCTCAAATTGGCCCGAGCGACTTGAATTTGTCAATCAGGGATGTCTGTGGGCTGCCCGCGGATGCCCCGTCTCTGAATCTCCTTTGAGACAGAAAAATCCTTTGTGTGTGATAGCGCCGGGGCCCGGCCCTTTCCGTACCGCTCGTCCACTTTTGTGTTGGAAATCTTGATGATTGCAACATCTGCCAACTTTCAAAGCGCTTGGTTTACCAAACAAAGAAATGACATCGCATCCTGGCAAGAATCGTGCACCAGCAAAAAAGAGAAAGAAAATGAAAAAAGGAAAATGGGGCCGATCACCCATCGGTGAAAGTGAACTAAGGCCTCTTTTGGCGCAAAAAGAAAAAAAGAAACAGCCCCAGTCGAGGCTAGTGAATTACTGGATTCGGCCCAATGAGCGAAATTCCTGTCGGGAAGGATTGGAATTTGTAAGCTGACCGAGGTTGGAGCATAAGCCCGCTTGTGCTCCAGGTACGGAGAACGCTGCCGGGATGTTACCCGCTGAAGAGGTCTTTTTCTCTTTGACGTGCGAGAAAATGATATCCCAGTCCTTGTCCTGGCCCAAGCTCCTTCATCTCTGCCTAGGCCGATCATGCTCCGCCTCACCCCCACTCCATACGGCCAATCCTGATTTGATGGCAACTTCGACTTTTCCTTAACTAAACATGCGCGAGAAGGGGAAAAAGCCACAACGTCCCGGGGAGCTCCACAGTCGAGATTCTTTCTTCACTTTTTTTTCAATTAATTTATTATCTTTTTTGGGAATTTGCTCAATTGCTCCGACGTCATGACTTGAGAGAGACCTTTGCTAACTGCTACAGATTCCTCCGGGAGACTATCGAGGAGTACGTGCTGACCCCCACTTTGTTGCCCAACCTTCTTATTGTAACAAGGACCGCCTTGTTCCCGGCCAATACCCGTCCAATATCTCAGATAGCGGCTGGGAATATTGAAGCTCCGTCCTCGGCTCTGCAGTCGGTGCAGACCTCGACGCCCATTCAGCAAGCCTTCGCACCCACGGTCTCAAATACTCCTATTGTGGAAGGAGTCAGGGGCCCTGATGCCGGTATCTTTAATGAAACCAATAATGCGGGTAACAGCAGCAACGGCGGCAATAATGGGAGGGGTACCTCAACATCCACCTCAGGCCGCCAATCGTCACTTTCTGCCATTGCAGCCGATGTCCCAACACCATCAGAGCTAAATGACCCGGCCGAAACCGTAAAAAGGAACGGCCCATCTAGGACGGAGATCGCCGCTATCAAGCGACGATGTGCAGCTAGTCTCCTGGCCGTTATCCCGCGCTCCGTCGTACGAACTTTCCTTGGTGTTCCCTCGTCGGCGCCTCCACCGCATTACAGTAGTGATGGTACCTGCAGCACCAACAGTTTGCCCCATCTCGTTACGTCGTCCCCACCAACTCCCCCAAGGGCGCCCCATGAATCTTTCCAGGAGGGGAAGGAAAATCTGGCGCCGTCGCATTCGCATTTGCCTTCGGACCCCTGTCCACTTGCATGTGGTCAACTTGCCGCTGAGCGGCTGCGCACAGACGATGATCCGTCTGCGGGGATTGATCGCGAGGAATTACATCTCCTAGACACAATCGAGAAAGACTTTCTAGACCTCTTTGCAGATGAGTACTGCAATAAACATCTAGTCTGGAGCATTATCGAGACAGTTCTGGCCAAGGTACTCCCTGAAATGGCTGAGCGCAGTGTTGAAGATTTACTGGAGGATCGTGGGATAGCGTCAGTGCCGCCTGCATTTGTATAGAGTACATATAGTTTGCGGCTTTGTTATTATCAGCAGACCTTAATTGATGAGATATGCCTTATGACTAGCATAACTTCCAAACTCAAAAATAGTGTGATTGTAGAAAGATATCGGGGGTATAATAGAGAAAATTAATCTGCCATGGTTCATCTATAGGCGAACCAGAAAATTTCATGTCCTTTCCGCGTGAGCAGCCCAGTTTTTTAGAAAAAAAGAAAGGGAAGAAAATTGGTATGAAAAGAGCGTAAGAAAGAGATTCAGTACAATGTACTCCGTAGGAGATCAAGGAAAACAGAATGCTAGAGAAAACAAATGACAGGGGGGGATATAGAAAACCAACAGCAAAAGAAAAAAAGCAAAAAACCCGAAGAAGAAAGCAAGCGGTAAAACTCCCGAGTCCAAGTCCGAGGCCGATGATCCCAAATCCGTATACCATCACAAATTGCCATTTGTCCATTATTCCATATGCATCGTCCAGACTGGGAATACCAGGGTATGTGTGCGCCTATAAAATCCATCACCCAAAAAAGTTCCAAAGGAAAGTAGAGGTCGCCCTCTGGATATGTGTATGTTTTTGTTTGGTTGCCCAGGTTTTATATCTCGTTGCCATCGCGGACTAGAGAAATAAGAAATGGATATAAAGAAAGGTTCCGTACAAGTGATCAAAAAAAAAAAAAAAATAACAGAGTAGCAAAAGCACTAGATGAAGGAAAGGAAGAAGAGAATGGGGAATCACGAATCAAAGTAAAGCAGATAATGTTAGAGGGGGAAGGAGGGAATGCCTCAAGAAGAAATGAAACTAGCAGTGCACAAAGACAGTGGGGGAATAATCATAAAAAAAGAGACAAGAAATGCAAAATCCAACTTGCGCAAGGACTCATCCCAAATTGTGGATGCTCCGCTTCTTCGTCACATGCGGGATATGAATATCCTCATGTTCATCAATGCGCGGCAAGCCACTCAACAGAAAGCCAGCCTGGCTCCTGGCAAGTTCAAGCCTCTCCATTAGCTTTACGATGGTCATGTACTCCTGTGCCGCCAGACCAGCAGGCTGATGGTCGAAGTAGTTGATGACGAGTTCAAGGGCGCGACGGGCCTCGTCCTGCGTCGGTGATCCTGGAGAGCTGACGGGCGAGATGGTGGTAGACTTTGACCGCGGCGGCATGTACTTGGTCGTGATCTCAGGGTTGCTGCGATTGCGCTTGATGACGTTTGTCTGGCGGACCGGGAACATGGCGGGCTTGGAGTCGTCCATTTCCAGTGGGGATTGCAGGGTGGAGACCGTAAGAGATTGCTGGAGTTCGCGCTTTTGGCGATGCGGGTCTGTGGTGTCATCGGCTGATAGGAGGGTTGGATCAATGGGGACGGGAGGGGAGGTCTGGCTGTGCAGTCGGTTGGTGTCGCTGTTGGTGAACGGGAGACGGGATTGGCTCGTTGGTGTTGTTGGGCTGACCATACCCGCCGAAGAAGTGTCGAGTGAGGTTGTGCTGTTGGAATATCCGTGTTGGTATCCCCCTGTCAGATCGGGCAGTTCAGCCATGTCGTGTTTGTTTCTTTCTTGGCTCGTTGGGGACAATGGGGATCCAAAGCTATCAATGGAGGATGTGGGCGAGTGGCTGCCAGGGCTTCGAAGAGCAGACCCGAACTCTGTATTGAGCTGAATTGGGCTGTTTGAACAGCTACGAATTCCGGTAGATCCTCTGCGCATTTTTGCGCCGAGGAGATTGTTCTTCTGCTTGAATTTTTCTAGCCAGGCTGCAGTGGAGACCTTTTCCTTGCCTTCAGGGCAGCCGCAGATACTGGCGAAGAAAAGTGCTTTCTCTTTGATCATCTCATCGCTTAGGGGATGTCCTTGGCTGTGGAGGTTCTTTGCCCAGTTGGATAGAGCTCTCTCAATATCGGGGACTCTGCCCTTAGCCCGTTTGATAGGAGACCGACTCCCATCTTCAGGGTTTAGATACTTTTCCTTCTGGCGAAGGACTTTGGAAACAGTGCTGTATATGTTAGATTGAATCAAATAAAAAGCGAGGTCGAAATGATACCTTCTCTCGACTCCAAACAACGCTGCACATCAAAGTCAACCTAGTTCCTGAACACAGACAAAAGAGATAATGCTTACCTCCAATATCAGTCTGCTTTGCAGTCTTGTTTTCCTCATGATATATACACATTTGCCGGCGATCATCGTCGGTAAGTGTCCTGCGCGGCGTAGTCCCTCCAGTGGAGGTCTTTCGCACCGGACACATGGTAGCCGAAGGTGACACCGATGTCGGGGTGGTAGAAGCAGGTAATCCAGACGCAACAAACGGAGAGTGTGTCGTGAGCATGCTAGGCCAGGAATGCGAAGGCATGGGTAGGGGCATGGAGGCGTAGGGCGGCGGAACTGACATGCCATACGAGTCCACAGCCATGAGCTGCGATGAGCCGTAGTCGAACCCACTATATTCGTGCATGGGGGGCGAGTGCTGAGGAGAAGCAAATGAGCCTATCTCCACCCATGGCGAATGGGGGAATTCGCTCTCTGGCTCATGATGAGTCTCCGTTTCCATGGCGGGCTCCTCCATGGACAATGGATCTCAAGAACAATGGAGGTAGGGCTTTTTTTGGTGGGGTTTTGGTTTTCGTGATAGGCTCGAATCGGGAGGAAATCAAAGAAAGAGAGACAAACGAGATCTCGGGAAACAATGAAACAATCTAAGTGTGAGACAATAAAAGCTGATGCATGTTCCACTGCTTCCGTAGACCTATATAGAATTGCTCTGATAGAGAGTATTGTCCCGAGAAGGTAGCTCTATAGACCACCTAAGTGAAGTAGAAGGGAAGTGTATAAAGTATACAATCTGCAAGAAGGTAAAAGAGCATGCGAGTAAGGCAATGGGGGTTAAAAGGAAAATTCCTTGGACGATCATATCGCGTGGATTTGACAGAACGACAGTGAATATCAATTGCAACTGGCACGAGAAAGACCACCGGAAAAAGCCATGATAACCTTTCCCCCCGAGAGTTATCCAGCAACCCGGTTGGTGATTGGTCAATACAGTGAAAAGTTCCAACCAAAATAATAAAAAAAATATAAAAAAAATATAAGAATAGCCAGAATAATATCTCGATTTTAATATTTGCTCAATTTCAAAATCATCCCTGTAAATATAGGAGGAACGGCGTCTGGTTGGTTGGCCGTGCGATATATTGCGGCAGGGGTTGCATCTCGTCAGGCCCAATGCGTCTGGCGTATTACGGTGTAAAGGTATGGAAATCTTCGTTCTCAGGGCTAACGCGGTTTGTTCTTGTTTTTTTTTGGGATTTGTGGGATCTTTTTTTTTTCTTCTTTTCATTCTCCCGTATGACCTTCCAACCAGGATGGCAGACTCGACGGTACCGAGTACATATGTATGTTATATACTGGCAATATAACCTGTGGCTGGCCGTTGTCGGCCTCGCCTTGACGAGGCTGAGGGTCTCATCTCAAGAAACTTGGGTTAAATCAGGGTTGATCATCCGGAGAAGGACGGGGTTCGTTCAAAGGGTAGCCCAGTTTGTAGCTCGATTTGCTGGGAGCCGGGTAGCGGATCGTTGAACCGCTCAACCTAAAGCCCGCTTGACATCCATGCACATCGTATGCGAGAACGGCGATCAGAGTGGACCGGGAAGAGGATAGCGGCAGGCAAACTATTGATTCTGCTTCCGTGAAAAGAATCTTCATTGGGAATATCTTCATTTTGGCCGAAAAGCAAACCGTTGAATCGGAGACTCAACATTCAGATTCCTGTCCCTATAGGGTATATTGCGAGGCAAGGTTCCGACTGTGGAGGTGACCAACCCGGATCCGAGGGTCTTAATCTCCAGTAAACACAAATCATAAGGTGAAGTAGACCGAGAGAGAGAGCAAATCCACATGGAATAGATTGCACGGATTGAACAGAGTCCATACAACGAGGGAAATATTACCAGACTGGGGCAGAATTATGTGGGCAGGCGGATCCTAACCTTGGGAGTTCGGAATATCGACCGCATCAGACATCCACGAGAGCTGACACGGCTAGAAATGAGGAAGTGAGCAATAGGCCGATCGTTGGGTGGACGAATCTGCTGTCTCCGTTGCCATGCTGTTGATACGACGGGGTTCATCCAATACAAGGGCCGAACAGCAGGTTGGATAGTGGTCCAATCACCGGGCGTAGAAGGCATCTCTTGGCTGTGAAAAAGAGGGGAACCTCTCCCCCATTTGCCATGCGGTTTCGGCGCTAAAATCCAGCCCTCGTCTTTCTCCACTACGACCCACTGCGGTCCCCTCCGGCCCGGGAACCTTCACCATTTCCTTGCATCTTGCATGTTGAACATTGTCCAATTGGGAAGGTAAGGGCTAGAAACAGAGAGCAGATACAGACTATAGAGAGTATAGAGAATATAGCAGTTGGGGAAGGAGTGTAGTTGACTATCAAGGTGGTACCAAGGACCGTAGGACGGCGGGCTTCTACAACATATAATACGCTCTACTATAGAACAGGTATTCTCATTTGAGCGGTCTAGGTAGATGGATACTACCCAAATATCCAGCAAGACCCCGCTTGTTCGACTTAACCACGAGGAAGCCGAATGTGAAATCAGCCTGCTTTATTTGGGCACTTGGAAGGATTCGTTCTCGAAACCTGCCGGGATGGAATGCGTCTGGAAGACAGATAACGTAGCAAAAGCAAAGCAAAAGGTGACTAGGGAGGTCTGACAAATTAATCCCAACACTGAAGAGGACTTCAATTGGTACGGAGTACTCTCGCTTATTTGGTCGCAGTACCAATCATTATGCTTGCTGCCGTCGGATTCTTTGCTTTGCACCAGTTAAATGAGCGGAAACAAAAGAAATGTGTGACAAAATTCAGAGGATTTTAATTCTACCACGGATTTTAATTAGACGGAAATCGCGTCGCTAGTAATAATCGGGTTTTTAAGGAAAATTCGGGGTAGATCCAGCTGGCCTGACGCCATTGGAGAGGTTTTCCGATCTTTTTAGGGCAAGGGCATTACTCTTCATTATTTCCACTACTATGTCGGAGAAGGAGCAGGAACAAGTCTAGACCGGTCAACATTGAAATCCTCAGGCCAATTCGTATCTTTGCTTCTTGCAATTGGATCTGTCATTCTTGGCTGTCATTTTCAAGCTTCGGGAGAAATTATCTGTTACCCTCGGGGTACACAACCGTAGGGTAACAAGGGTCAGTGTTACTTGAGTCAGGTACCGATGGATATACCTGTTGCAATTCCAATCCTGCCCGAGATATCTCCGGAAAGTCGAATTGTGCAAAATAAATAGAACTGTGTATAGAAAATCAATGGTGGATATAGGGGAATATGGCATGGATAAATACTACTCTCGCTTGAGGTATGTGAGTAACACACACTAGTAGCTAGCAAGATACTTTGTACTCCGTATACCATACAAGGCTAAGGAAAATAGAGTAAGAATGCTTCGCTACTCTGGGGAAGAGCATGGCTCATGCAATGCAATGCGACGGGGATGTCCGATGGATCCTCCACGAGATCATAACGTACGTTATAGGCTACACGGGCGGTCGGTGCCCTCATAGTCACCTGATGAAGAGGTTAAGTATACATAATCCGTACACCCTCGTACGCCGATCGTGCATCTGAGAACAGACCAGATCGTGAACAGCCCCTTTCTCGTTTTCACTGAATCGGCGATATGCGGTCTCCACCTCACTAGAACTATTTTGTGTCGCCGCAGAGATTCACGAGAACTACTCAGTAGCGTACTAGACTTAGTAGACACCATAAGAACCCCCTGTTGGGTAAAGTCATGGACTTCGTACTCGTAATACTGTGTATTGGATAGGAATCGATCAGATAAACGTCCGCAATTCAACCAATATGTCTCTCATTCACCGCTTGTTCTTAGAATCATTTGTACCTTGCCTCACTTTTTGCTTTTTTCTGTTTGGTTGAAATAGTTTGGTTAATTTGCATTTCGATCCTGCGCAGATCTGTACGGGGGGGGGGGGGGGGGGGGGGGGGGGGGGGGGGGGGGGGGGGGGGGGGGGGCGGGGCGGGGGGGGGGGGGGGGGGGGGGGGGGGGGGGTCGGGGGGGGG